AATGATGTGGATTTCTGCACAAATTGGTCATAAAATGTGATCTGATCATCATCTAAGTCACAACAATAGACAATCACAGTCTGCTTAAACTAATAACACACAAAGAATGAAATGTTGCCATGTTTTTATTGAACACACCATGTAAACATTCACAGTGCAGGTGGAAAAAGTATGTGAACCCCTAGACTAATGACATCTCCAAGAGCTAATTGGAGTGAGATGTCAGCCAACTGGAGTCCAATCAATGAGATGAGATTGGAGGTGTTGGTTACAGCTGCCCTGCCCTATAAAAAACACACACCAGTTCTGGCTTTGCTTTTCACAAGAAGCATTGCCTGATGTGAATGATGCCTCGCACAAAAGAGCTCTCAGAAGACCTACGATTAAGAATTGTTGACTTGCATAAAGCTGGAAAGGGTTATAAAAGTATCTCCAAAAGCCTTGCTGTTCATCAGTCCACGGTAAGACAAATTGTCTATAAATGGAGAAAGTTCAGCACTGCTGCTACTCTCCCTAGGAGTGGCCGTCCTGTAAAGATGACTGCAAGAGCACAGCGCAGACTGCTCAATGAGGTGAAGAAGAATCCTAGAGTGTCAGCTAAAGACTTACAAAAGTCACTGGCAAATGCTAACATCCCTGTTAGCGAATCTACAATACGTAAAACACTAAACAAGAATGGATTTCATGGGAGGATACCACAGAGGAAGCCACTGCTGTCCAAACAAAACATTGCTGCATGTTTACAGTTTGCACAAGAGCACCTGGATGTTCCACAGCAGTACTGGCAAAATATTCTGTGGACAGATGAAACCAGAGTTGAGTTGTTTGGAAGAAACACACAACACTATGTGTGGCGAAAAAAAGGCACAGCACACCAACATCAAAACCTCATCCCAAATGTGAAGTATGGTGGTGGGGGCATCATGGTTTGGGGCTGCTTTGCTGCGTCAGGGCCTGGACAGATTGCTATCATTGAAGGAAAAATTAATTCCCAAGTTTATCAAGACATTTTGCAGGAGAACTTAAGGCCATCTGTCTACCAGCTGTCTACCAGCTGAAGCTCAACAGAAGATGGGTGTTGCAATAGGACAATGACCCAAAGCATAGAATTAAATCAACAACAGAATGGCTTAAACAGAAGAAAATACACCTTCTGAAGTCCTGACCTCAACCCGATTGAAATGTGGCATGACCTCAAGAAAGCGATTCACACCAGACATCCCAAGAATATTGCTGAACTGAAACAGTTCTGTAAAGAGGAATGGTCAAGAATTTCTCCTGACCGTTGTGCACGTCTGATCTGCAACTACAGGAAACGTTTGGTTGAAGTTATTGCTGCCAAAGGAGGTTCAACCAGTTATTAAATCCAAGGGTTCACATACTTTTTCCACCTGCACTGTGAATGTTTACATGGTGTGTTCAATAAAAACATGGCAACATTTCATTGTTTGTGTGTTATTAGTTTAAGCAGACTGTGATTGTCTATTGTTGTGACTTAGATGATGATCAGATCACATTTTATGACCAATTTGTGTAGAAATCCATGTCATTCCAAAGGGTTCACATACTTTTTCTTGCAACTGTATGTGAGTCAGTGTTTGTATCTGTAGAAGTGTAATTCTGTGTATCTGAATGTGTTTCATTCTGTGTGTCTGTGTATTAGCATGTGTGTCCATGTATATATCTGTATGCGTTATACAAATGGGGGGTGGAGGGGCAGGGTTTACATGGAGGGGGGCCAGGGCACTTTTCTCACCTGGGCCCTTTGGTTTCTAGTTACGCCTCTGATCGTATCACTAATAAAGCTCACTTTTGCTAGTTGAAGAAAGAATGAAGACCAGTGGTATATATAATGATTACATTTGTGCATTTAAAAAGCTTTAAATTAAAATATAACCTGATAATATTGGCAGGTCAGCGGACATATGTTCTGTTCCTCTACCCTTTCAGAATCATAGTGAGGCACAAAGCAAAATGTGTATCAATGTGAAAGGTTACATTAACCCATTAAATATGTTACAATCTGACCACTTTCACATCTTAACAAAAGAGGATAATTACAAAGCAATCCAAGTTTCAGGATAGTAATTATTATAATGTAAGATATAATTTTTGGTCTTCATTTGTTTCCCCTGAAGTCCTGAAATCCGTATATTTTTCCAAGCATCCCTTACTAGAACAGAAATAAAATTAGCACAGCTGACTGCTATCTACATTTTATATTACAGCCCAGAGGCACACATTTTTATAAGCTTCCCTAATTAAAATGACACTGTGATCACCATCAACTACAGTCAGAATTAATAGAATGATCTGGTCACTTTAAGTATGTATCCACCAGTAGCACTGGTGAGAAATGTCCCGCGTTCTGTAGAAAATGCTGCTTTTTTTGCCAGCGTGTTCTGATAACAATGTCATAAGTAACAGATGAAGGAAAACAGAACCAGTATCTAGGCTCGGTTAGATTGCATTATCAATCATTTCTTAGCCACTTAATGAGCATCCGCAAGAAACATTTTCACTAATGCCTCTCACGGTGAGATCCGTGCGAATGCTGAGAGTCTAAATTAAATCTAAAAGCTGGGAGGGAAGGGGGGATGCAGGGAATGCGGTGGTAGATGGGAAGACACTAGACAATCCGCTATAAAGATCTATTTATCTCTCTACACACAAAGAAAATGTCTTTGCAAAACGCCTCTATTCATAATGGGTTAACAAAGCCTAAGGCGGATTGCAGTAATCGAGAATAACTGGATGGTAGCCGTTATTTGAAGAGTCGTCTAATGACCGCAAGATTACCATTTAATTAGTAATAAGATATTGGGGCCGGTGACAAATTAAAGGAGGGGGGTGGAGGAATTTGCTGGCAGGTGACACGACGCTGATCTATGTCTTGATATTCCCAGCAGGAAGGCAAGCTTGTAGCCTGTTAGTATTCATCAGGCAGTATTAATAATAAAATGCAATAATTACAGCCAAACAGTGCCCCGCTCCCTCCTATCTCCTGCTTGACTGAGTAGTTTTATTATCTGGGACTCGTGGCTCGATTCGCACCCATGGGATGAGAAAAGAGGATTATGGGGAAGTAGGAAAAAGCATTATGTCATATTACTCTCTTTGTCATGCTCGCCATGTGCCTTCAAGACTAGTATGCCGTTTACTTCGATGTTTAAATAGAAAAAAAGGCTATTTCATGTGGTTGTTGGCTTATTTTCCCAGTAAAAAATTTGTCTTAAGGTCGGCCAAGAATTATTGGACCTTTCTTCAGGCAGTTCGTGAATAGTGAAGGAGCTGATACAATAAACAGAATGGAGTTTTCATGACATGTATTCAGTTAGCCGTAAAATATGAAATATTAACATTGCTACCACCTGTGTGTTTTAAATAAAAAAACTAAAAAAAACGAGAGAGGGCATATTGAAAAGGGTAATTGATACTTCCAGGCTTTCTGCACATCCCAATAGCTACCTAAAAAGTAACTATGGTCGCTAAGTGTTCTATTTTGTTTTAATTTGCAATATTTGTGTGGATGTCCTGGCACAGCCTGGCATACGGAGCGAAAAAGCGAATTTTACTATTCCATAACATAAAGTTGAGATTGTATTAAAGACACAGAGGAAAGAATTATCATTTTATCTTTTTGAGATATATCATCACGCAACAGCCAGTCACAAAACAGCATAGCGTATAAATAGTTGTTCCAATCATTTTAACTTTCTTGTTCTTTGATGTTTGTCAGAATAAGTACCCTCTCTGCTTACTTCTCACTTCAGCAGGTTTATGCTTTTATATTTTGAGTTCAGGCTGAACAATAATGCTTTAATTAATAGAATTATTTAATAATTTAATAATGTACGGATTCCCCCTTTTAGTATTTTTATTCCTCCTTTTTTGGTATCAGTCCCCCTTTTTGTTTAATTTTCCCAGTCCTTCTATGCTCCCCACACTGTTTAAGGTCTCGAGGGACCGTTAAATGTAGTACACCAATATTTCCATTGACGTCCGCACACTGTAGTAGTTCTAAAATAATGCCACATGTAGGTAATGAAAAAGTGCACAATTTATGAAAAAATACTTAGAGGAAAAAATATAACTAAAATGAAAAATATAACTAAAATGCCAGCAACATGTAGCCCACCTAATAAGATGTTACCTCCAATATGTGCACAAAAGGCCAGTGTGCAACTGATATGCACGTTCAAATAGGTGGAAATGAAACACCCTGTATTCAAAAGGAAAAATGGGGGAAGGAGGGAAAGGCGAAAGGCAGCTGGAGATAGCATCAGATTAAGAAAGTGCCAAGACAGGCACAAAACTCGTCCGGGACCTCTTTAAAGGTTTGCTGGAACCCTCTCCGGTGTCTCTTCCCCCCAGTAGATTTTGCAATCTCTTTTGCTACAATATACCAAGTAAGCATTTTATGCTGTGTTTACCCCCTGGATGTTTGGGGTGGCGGTATTTTTCATTTTACATGGGATTATTCTCTGTTCTATATCATATTTACAGGATTATTTTGCTAATTTTTCACAATTTTTAATTCCTAGTTATATCTGAATATTTCTCACAATTAGTTTTTGGAGTTGCAACCACCATCTCTGTTTTGGGCAGTGGCGGTCTTTTTGGTTACTAGGACCTGCAGACACTGAGCCCACCACATTGCATCATTGGTTTCCTGGTTTTCAGACAGATATTCTTATGGATCTGGCT